ATCAAGATGCATATTTTAATAAACAGGAATAACAAAGTAGGCAGACAGAAATATTTATGGCAGATTTCTTTCCAGAAACTATAAATCCAAATTCCTTAACCACAGACTTGAACATATCAGTTTTTTTTTGCCCTTTTTGGTAGGCTGGGTCTGTTAGTCCCGATAAAACAAGTGAAAAACACGATTCTTGAGTTGTGTGCCCTTGTAAAGGTTATAGTAGAGGACACTGCCCTTTAGCAGAAGTGACTAATCAGCTGATGTGAATTATTGTTTCTAGAAATATTGCATTTTCAGTTTCATATTTATCGGGTGGGTGCCAAAAGTACCCTGCTGGTCTTTTATGTTCTCACAGTAAACGTACCAAACCAAATTGCATAAAGCTTAAGAAAAGCTTTTAAAATACTGTCTAGTTTCTCTGTGAAAAAAATAAAATAAAAAGATATGATTTAGTATATGTATAATTTTTTAGATTTATAAAGTGTAAATTCTGTTTTGAAAAAACAATAAAAAAATACTTCCTTTCATACTAAACTTCTATTTTATTTTATCAAGCAACAGCAAGTTTCATATTATATATCCACTCAGTCTTAACTTGTTTATTGTATATGTTAAAACATTTATTTTGCAGAAATCATACAAATACATCAGGGCTATATCAATTTATGTTTAAGTGTTAGAGTTTTTATAATTATGTGTTGTTTGAATAAACAAAACTTGACACATTCGGTAAAAACCGTCATCAGTTGTAGTATATTGTGCTCATAATTATTCTGTCACATTTTAGATCTGATCTAAATATCCATAGTCATGTCTGAATTATCAATTGATTACTTGTTAAACACTAAAACCTGCTAGTATTTAGCCAGCTACTGCTAATTTTGAGTTGTTTTTTTTTAAGGTGACTTTTAAGTACAATTGTAGCAAAGTGTCAGTAACCTACATTAAGATCAAAATATTCACTTTTAAGAGGGAACACTTGTTAGTTTTTCTGTATAAGCAGCATTTTGTTGGTGATTCAGGAATGTTTTAAACTGTTTGAAGTGATTTGACTAATAACATGATGTGTAACTTATATTTTAACTTGTTCCTCTTTAGGTCACTTATTGCTGTAGAAACAATGAGATTTGGAAGATTAAGAGAACAACATTTTCTCGATAAGCTTAAGCCTATTGAGTTGTTGATGGTAGAGCTGTAAGCTTAAGCCTATTGAGTTGTTGATGGTAGAGCTGTAAGCATAAGCCTATTGAGTTGTTGATGGTAGAGCTGTAAGCTTAAGCCTATTGAGTTGTTGATGGTAGAGCTGTAAGCATAAGCCTATTGAGTTGTTGATGGTAGAGCTGTAAGCTTAAGCCTATTGAGTTGTTGATGGTAGACCTGTAAGCATAAGCCTATTGAGTTGTTGATGGTAGAGCTGTAAGCTTAAGCCTATTGAGTTGTTGATG